CTTGGTTCACGACTTGAAACTGTGCCATAGAGTTCCATTGATGATTTCTCAAGAAAGGATCATGATCACGACTATGAAATTTCTCTATCATTTGTTTATTGACTTCTTTTGCACGTGAGAGTTCTTCGATGAGTAAATATGGTTCTGCACGGGCTAAAGAAGTGTGGAGTAATGCGTTTTTGTTACCAGTGCATGGGAAGCCACTGATCATTCCATACTCGGTGACAATCTGAGAAAAAGGCTTATGAGTTAATGGATCTATTCCCATTTTCATAAGTTTTTTCTTCAGTTTAGTGTTCCAGTAATTCTTCACATCATTGTCTGTTCTTCCAGGTAAACGCTTCGCTATTAGAGACCATCTGCAGCATGAAAAACCAGAGCAATAGTTCATAATAATTTTGACAGAATAACAATATGATGGAACCAAAATAAAACCGGAGCAGGAGAAGAATGAAAAAAGGACCTGCTACCAATGGTTCTGTGGAGTTCTAGAATACATTCTTCTTCTTCAGGAGTAAAATTATCATGTTTGAGATCAGGTCGCAAATAATTAGTCCATCTTAGCCTACAGCTCTTTCCACATCTGTTGAGTCCTTTACAAACTCATCGAAAAAATATAAACAAATATAGAGATATATCATTAACTAACAAGATCTCATAAATTTGTAAAGACCGTACATACCTGCTTTCTGAGGAACCAAAGTCCAGTTGCCAATTCCATGGCTAGCAACATATGCAAGAATTTTCGCATCTTCCTCTGGTGTCCAAGGGCCTCTTTTAACGTTAGCTTTATTACAACAGGGAGGCCTCCCCATCAGAGATGAACTGTTTCTTTTTCTATGTATGTGTGCGTGTGGGGTGAGGGGACGGGAGAGAGAGGGAGACTACGAAAGGACTGATGCAATAATGACGCAATTTCACAGCATTAAGTGCATTTGAAGGAGGACATTTAACAAGTGAGCGAGCATGAAATGCATGTAACTTGGCTCTGAATTAACAACAATTGCATGATTTTATCATCGATGAAGAAAACCGTTTGATATGACATGAAATACAATGCATGCATTCATTCTCTTTCTCTCTCTCATTTTCTTGGCTCCAGTGAACAATAATGTGTACAGGTTCAAATTGGATGAATTATATATTTTGATAAAAAAAGAGCTTCTAGTAAGCTAATATAGAGAACTGTGTTAATATTCCCAACTGCAAATCAAATTCGGCAGAAGAC